CCCCCCCCCCCGATCATGGCATATATCTGGTTTGACTACAGCAAACGCAAGGATGATATACAGCCAGCCTCTGGTTCATCCTTGTGAAATCGTAGCCTGGGCCGGCAAAACCCGGAAGGCATATCGCTCCTCCGTCCCGGCATGCGAGGCAAAAGATCGGTCGACCACGGCTAGCGTTTACACGAGTACCCCCCCCCCCCCCCCCCCCCCCCCCCNCTCTTGCCCTGCAGGGGACGACTTTGCTGACATTACCGTGGTGGCCGTGGGGAGCGCAGTGGCAACAGCGGCGTGCGTCATGGCCTGCTGCTGTGTGAGCTCTCTGGTTGATGTGAGGGACAAGTAGTCCGTCTCTTTGCCGGCTAATCAACAAGCGGCATCCTCTGGTAGACGCAAGCATAGTAGTACAACCGTAGTGTACCGCTTTGTTTTTGCGGGGGGGGGGCGAGGGGGGGGCGTAGTTTATCCCCCGGGCCGCCCGTTGTTGACACCAGTTGTTGTCTTGTTGTGCCCATTCGAGCGTATGACGTTTGCCTAACCTAGGGCGTTGTGCCGCCATGCCTGTCGAGGACAGAAGGTTTTCGTGCACGCGACACTCTTGGTGCTGAGGGCCTTAGTTGTGGAAGCCACAGCTTCAAAGCCGGGATCCTTTTGTACCTGAAAAGCTGTGCGCGTGGTCCACCTTCGAAGTCTCAGTCGCTGAGGGCTTTTTCTGATCTACCAAGAGCTCGAGACACGTTTGTGGTTCTTCGTGTATGCGTCGCCTGTCCGGATGTGTGTGGTCGGCGGGGGAGAGCGGGGGGGGAGTAAGCCCCTTCCTTGCCTCGCGCCCCGTACGTATGACACCACCCCCCAAGCTTTAGCCGGCCATCTCGCCTCTCGATCGCCGCTGATGACGTTCTGGTCGTCGGTTTCTCTCTTGGTGCTTGTGCTTCCACACACGCCAACCACCGCAGAAGATGAAGAAGGCGAAGCGTCGACCCGGGACGGGGGGCAAAGGGTCGACCAAGTCTCTCGGCACCGAACCGTCTCGCAGCCCTGACTCGCGGTATAACATGGGACAAGGGTTGATCGCGGGGGAGGTGAGAAGGTGGACGGTACACCACGCGTGTGGCGTCTCTGATAAGATGAGGATCGGCGCTCAATCACGAAACG